CCTGTTTGTCCAGGAGCTTTGGACTGAGGGGCAGGCTTTCGGTTTGGCACACATGGGCAGGGTGTGCTCCATAACCGCTCTTAGAGAACAGTGGCCAATAGATGCATTCTTTGTTCTCTCCCTTGTTCCAGCTTTCCAGTATCTTCTATAAAGGAGCTTACATTACTCTCTGGTGCCCTGATTTTTGCTACCAGGGGATGCCTCTACATCACCTAGGTTTGGTGGTGGCATTCCCTAGGTCCCATGAGACTATACCTTACAGAGATAGAGTTCTTTTTTTAAAAAAAATTTTTTTTTAACGTTTTTATTTATCTTTGAGACAGAGAGAGATAGAGCATGAACGGGGGAGGGGCAGAGAGAGAGGGAGACACAGAATAGGAAGCAGGCTCCAGGCTCTGAGCCATCAGCCCAGAGCCTGACGCGGGGCTTGAACTCACGGACCGTGAGATCGTGACCTGAGCTGAAGTCGGACGCTAAACCGACGGAGCCACCCAGGCGCCCCCAGAGATAGAGTTCTTAAATAGCTACTGCCCCACGGGCTACCACAGCAAGAGGCAAGTCTTTGTGTGAGAGAGGCTTATTAGCTTACATATATGGTAAATTAAATTATGATAAAGGCACCAAGAATATACAATGGGGAAAGGACAGTATCTTTAATAGATGGTGTTGGGAAAACTGGATAGCCACATGCAAAAGAATGAAACTGGACCACTTTCTTAGACCATACACAAAAATGCACTGAAAATGGTTTAAAGACTTAAATGTAAGAAAATAAACCATAAAAACTCTGGAAGAAAACCTAGGGAATAAGCTCCTTGATATCGATCTTGGCAGTAAATTTTGGATTTGAGACCAAAAGCAAAGGCAACGAAAGCAAAAGTCCACAATTGGGACTACCTCAAACTAAAAAGTTTCTGCACAGCAAAAGAAACTATTAACAAAAATGAAAAGGCAATGTACTAAGTGGGAGAGAATATTTGCAAATCATGTATGTGATAAGGGGTTAATATCCAAAATATATTTAAAAAACTCCTACAACTCAACAGTAAAAAATAAACAGTTTTAAAAATGAGCAGAGGTTCTGAACAGACATTTTTCCAAAGGAGACATACAGAAGGCCAACAGGTAAATGAAAAGACCATCAAAGTCACTAATCATCAGGGAAATTCAAGTAAAAACCACAGTGAGCTATTGCCTCACATTTGTTAGAATGGCTACAGTCAGAAGAAAGGGGTCAGGCTATAGGGGGAAAAAAAAGAAACATGAAATGTTGGAAAGGATGTGAAAAAAAGAGATCTCTGTGTACTGTTGGTGGTAAGTATATATTGGAGCAGCCACTACGAAAAACAATATGGAGTTCTTCAAAAAACTGAAAATAGAACTACCATATGATCTAGCAATTTCACTTCTGGATATTTATATGAAGAAAACAAAACACTAACTTGGAAAGATACATAGGCACCCCCATGTCATTATAGCATTATTTACAGTAGCCAGGATATGGAAACAAACTATGTGTCCAACAACAGATGAATGGATAGAGAAATTGTGTGTGTGTATACATACACATACATATATACACCTATGTAAATAAAATGGGATATCATCAACCATTGAAAAGAATGAAACCTGGCCATTTGTGAGAACATGGATAGACCTTGAGGACACTATGCTAGGTGAAATAAGTCAAAGACAAATATCTTATGATCTCACTTATATGTGGAATCTAAAAAAAACAAAAACAAAAAAAACCCACCACAAAACAAAACTAAAAAAACCAAGCTCCCTGATACAGAGAACAGATAGGTAGTTTCCAGAGTTGAGGATTGGGAGTGGTGGGCGAAATGGGTGAAGGGAGTCAAAGGTGCAAGTTTCCAGTTATAAAATAAATGTCCTAGGGATGTAATTTACAGCATGGTGATTGTAGGTAATACTGTATTGCATATTTGAAAGTTGTTGAGAGAGTAAGGCTTAAAAGTTACCACATACACAAAAATTTATAACTGTATGGTAACATATTAACTAGACTTATCATTTTGTAATATATACAAATATAAAAACATTATGTTGTTATACCTAAATCTAATATATCGTATGTTAATTATACCTTAATTTTAAAAAGGTAATAACTGGAATAAAACAGGAGTGGAGCAAAACCGTATTGGGCATAAACAAGGCCAGTCCTGCCTTGAACTTCCTGTGGTGTTTGTTATGTTCTTTTTGGTGAACTTTGTCTTTTGTGTGATATGTAGATGAATCTGGAAGGTTTCAGCTTCAAAGACAGGAAAACTCCACTACTGCATTTCCCATAGGCTCACATGCCTGAGACTTAAAACAGTGTCAGTGTGAACATAATGCTTGAAACGTGTACAAACCCTCTTTTTTCCTTTTGACCAAACTTTTTTCTTTAATGATGTTATTGCTGGGAGTCCATTCAGTGTATTAAATTGTATCTTAAATTGCTTAGCCAGTGGGGTGGGAAGAGGTTAGAGGTTTTGAAGGCTGAAGATTAGAAATGGGTTTTGTAAAAATGGGTACACTTTATTTAAAATGTTTACTTGAGTAATAATATATGTATACATGTATACGTACAGAGGAAAATACACATAAATGTATAGCTTAGTAATTTTCACAAACTGAATATATCAGCATAGTCAACACCCAGAACTAAAACCAGCATCCTAAATGCTCTCCTTGTTCTTCTTCAAGTTAATACCTCCTACTCAGAATAACCGAATTCTGACTCTAATGCTATAGATGTGTTTTGCTTGATTTTGTTACTCTGTATGAATTAAGTCATACAGTCACTTAAATGCATAAATGTTAAGATTTATCCACATTTCTTACATATGGTTAGAGTTTATTCATTTTCAGTGCTATACAAAATACCATTGTATGAAATATAACAATGTATCCATTCTACTGTTGTTAGCCATTTGGATGGTTTCCAGGTTGGGGCCATTATACATAGTGTACTATCCCAATACATTCTTTTAATGTATTTTGATTTATATATATATATATATATATAAATTTCCTAGGACATTTCACAGTTTTTTATCTATAGTCCATAAACTCTAAGTGTTCTTTGGCGTTACAGTCAATATATTTACTATGTGTACCATACTCAAATGAGAGCTACAGTTCCAAGTATTACCAAATCCTTCCCTTCTTGGTGTTCTCACTAGACTTTTTCTAAAATTCACTTAGGTTTTTAACATGTATTTTGGTTAAGTATGCATATTAATGTGTTTTATCGCATCGTGAGTACTTTTTAGTACTTTGTTTTACGTGCTTGTGTATCCCAGCAGCTGGCACAGTATCTGAAAAATAGTAAGCTGGGTGAGTGAATGGTGATAGTCATCATTATTGCCAGAGATTAACACAGCAAGTTCCCCTAGTTATGTGAACCATCTTGCTAGGGTAAAATCCTTGCTTTAGTTCGACATCTCAGAGTCAAAGGGTTAGGAATGGGAGGTGATCACACTCTCAGAAGCCTACAGTAGGGTTCAGAACTGAACATGGTGTGTGGTTAGAGGGAATTGCTGTGGCTTTACAAGCCTCTTGGAGATTTCATGTGTTAACAGCAGTGATTCCAAAGGATAGTGTGGGGGCCAGATATAAATAGCAGGACACAAATGGGGTAATGTGCCACTGCCAGGCTACTGCTGGGGGTGTTTATAAAAAGAAAAGTATTCCCTTCTCAGCTCTCACTGTCAACAACCTCCTATCCTGAAGACACGCTTACCACAACTGAAAGAGTGGGGAAACAGTTTGAGACCTAGCATCATTTAAACTTCCTCCACAGGCAGAAAAGCCAGGTAAACATTTTGACTTATTTACACTCAAACTACGGAAGTAAAGAATTTTCAAGAAAACCCTAATTCAGAGCTTGCTTGGCACGTACTGCCTCATGACAATTATCTATCAAGTATTATATTTTGAATCATTTTTAGAAAGTGAAGTTTAACACAAAAGTGACATTTTGGTAGTATATGTTAGGATCTCTAGTGAAAGAAGCTGCTCCTGAATAAAAATAGGAATGTGGGGCCAAGGGAAGACTTTCCTTTCCCCCGTGCTTTTCATTCCCATTTGCAGATGCCAGAATATGGTGAATGGTAGGATAAAATAGAGGTCTCGGTTCAGTTCCAGTAATGTCAACTTTGTTGTAGGTATGTGGAAGGAACTGTAGACCGACCTTTAATTGACTCATTTAATGGCTGTGAGAGAGCTTCAGCTCTTGAGGGCCTCTTACCGTCCTGTTTACCCCCTTTCAGTCTCATAAACATCGGGGACAAGGATTGGGCATATGGCCAATAGAGTTGTATAATCTTATTAGAATTGTTGCTTACCAAGTTTTTTCTTATTTTCATTCCCACCATCAGAAATGTATGCAAGACACTTGTTTTATCCTTGAGCTTCTTTTGAATGTAAATATTTGGGGGAAGGAGGACCCCTTGGTAACTCTCTGGTTTGTACCACTACTGGGCTCATCATTCCTTCCATCCTACCCAAATATGTGTGACTTGGCTTGCAAAGACGTTAAGAGAATGCATGATGTGCATGGACAGTAACTACTGGAGACCTTTTGGAAACTGGGAACTTGGAGATCACCAATCTAAAATGGTGATTTTTAGTTTATATTATTTCTTGTGTATGCTGAGGAGAAACTTAGAGACAGGAAGAAATTATGACTACCAGTGACTGACTATGGTAGAAGAGACAACATGACTGGAAATGGATAGATTTAATTTTGAGCAAATTGCTAAAGTTCTTGGAGCTTTTGCTTCCTCATCTGTAGAATGAGAGTGTTAGACCACCAGACAAATTATAATGGCCCTTACATCCATTGGAAACTTACTGATGATCACTTCCTGACCATCATGATACTCTCACCGCGAATGAAAATATATATAGTGTGTCATCCTGCTGTACATACCTAAACCTCTTTTTTAAGACAACTAAATTGGAATTTCTCCCTTTTAATTTAGAAGAGAAAAATGAAGACAGGACATTTTGATATGGTCACCATGCTGCTGGCAGCAGTGATTCTAATGGACATTTTCCAGGTAATGTTTGGAATGGGAAGTATGTGGTCATTGGAATGGGAACTCTTGATATAATGTTGCCTGAGGCATCCATGTGGGTTGATGATGGAAATGAGAGCGGATAGAATAGGTAAACTTGTTTTTTACAAGTAGCTTTTTTTTTTCATTTTACACTTTGATACAGGCTGACTGTAGGAAGTTGAAAAAATTAAAATTAAGCAAACAGAGGAAACTGAAAATCATCCACAGTCCCTCTACTCAGAGGGAAAGAGTCTTAATCTGTTGGTGTATAGTCTTCTTGGTTTTTTTCTGTGTGTGTGTGTGTGTGTGTGTGTGTGTGTGTGTGTAATTTAGAAAAATGGGTTCACAGTGTGCATACTGTTTTTTTGCTTTTTAAGTTACTACTGTGCTACAAATGTCTTTGTCATTAAATATTCTTAAAATATGTATTTGGTTCAAATAAGACGACAGTGCAGTGTTTGGTTATGTGTATTTTATTGAACTACGTAATGACCATTTTCTCACATCTAGTGTTCTTTTTTTCGGATAGTACTTTCATGATTTTATTTTTTGCAGTTGAATCTTCGAGCATTCTGTAACATATTTTTATGTATATATGAGACTGATATCTCATTTGATTTCTTTCCCCACCATGCTTGCTTCACATCGCTACTGAATACCTAATGATTTGAAGTCTCTTCTTTAAAATATGTTAAATTATTAAAATGTTATTTTTGAATTTAATATTCTGATCCCTTGTCTGTGGAATCATTGTATATTCTGTTGCCTGTGCTTCAGTATGATTTTTTAAATTGAGGAATAATTCACATGTCATTAAAAAAGCACACTTTTATTTTTTTTTTTTTTTTTTTATTTATTTATATATGAAATTTATTGTCAAATTGGTTCCATACAACAGCACCAGTGCTCATCCCAAAGGTGCCCTCTTGAGTACCCATCACCCACCCTCTCCTCCTCCCACCCCTGTCAACCTGGTTTGTTCTCAGTTCTCAGCAGTCTCTCTCTTATGCTTTGGCTCTCTCCTCTAACCTCTTTTTTTTTTTTTTGTTCCCCCATGGGTTTCTCTTAAGTTTCTCAGGATCACATAGAGTGAAACCATATGGTATCTCTTTCTCTGTGTGGCTTATTTCACTTAGCATCACACTCTCCAGTTCCATCCCGTTGCTACAAAGGCCATATTTCATTTTTTTCTCCTTGCCACGTAGTACTCCATTGTGTATATAAACCGCAATTTCTTTATCCATTCATCAGTTGATGATGGACATTTGGGCTCTTTCCATAATTTGGCTATTGTTGAGAGTGCTGCTATGAACGTGGGTACAAGTGCCCCTGCATCCAGTACTCCTGTGTCCCTTGGATAGAATTCTAGCAGTGCTATTGCTGGGTCATAGGGTAGGTCTATTTTTAATTTTCTGGGAACCTCCACACTGCTTTCAGGAAGCTGGCTGCACAATTTGCATTCCCAACAGTGCAGAGGGTTCCCGTTTCTCCCACATCCCTCTCAGCATCTATAGTCTCCTGATTTGTTCATTTTGGCCCTCTGACTGGTAGTGTCCTCTGGGTGTGGTTTGATTTGTATTTCTCTGATAAGGAGGCGTTGAACATCTTTCATGTGCCTGTTGGCCATCCGGATGTCTTCTTTAGAGAGGTGTCTATTCATGTTTTCTGCCCATTTCTTCACTGGGTTATTTGCTTTTGGTGGAGTTTGGTGAGCTCTTTATAGATTTTGGATACTAGCCCTTTGTCGATATGTCATTTTGCAAATATCTTTTCCATTCGTTGTGCCTTTTAGTTTTGTTGGTTGTTTCTTTGCTGTGCAAGCTTTTTTATCTTCATAAGGTCCCAGTAATTCACTTTTGCTTTTAATTCCCATATGGCAGGGATGTGTAAGTAAGAGATTGCTACGGCTGAGATTCAGAGAATGCTTTTCCTGCTTTCTCTCTAAGGTTTTGATGGTTTTCTGTCTCACATTCCTTTATCCATTTTGAGTTTATTTTTTGGCAGATAGTGTGAAAGTGGTCTAATTTCAGCTTCCTTCTGCATGTTGCTGTCCAGTTCTCCCAGCACCATTTTATTTGAAGACTGTCTTTTCCATTGGATGTTCTTTCCTGCTTTGTCAAAAAAAGATAAGGAGTTGGCTTACGTGCGTTTGTGGGTCTAGTTCGGGGTTTCTATTCTATTCCATTGGTCTATGTGTGTGTCTGTTTGGTGCCAATACCATGCTGTCTTGATGATGACAGCTTTGTAGTAGAGCTAAAGTCTGGGATTGTGATACTCTGGTCTTCTTCTTCAAAATTACTTTGTCGGGGCCTTTTATTGGTTTTACATATGAATTTTAAGTTGCTTGTTCTAGCGCCGAGAAAATGCTGAATTTTAATTTTGATTGGGATTACATTGAATAACTTTGGGTAGTATTGACATTTGACAATATTTATTCTTCAATCCACTTGAGCAGGAGACTCCATTTCTTTAAATCTTCTTCAATTACCTTCATAAGCTTTCTATAAGTTTCAGCATACAGATCCTTTACATCTTTGGTTAGATTTATTCCTAGGTATTTATGCTTCTTGGTGCAATTGTGAATGGGATCAGTTTCTTTATTTGTCTTTCTGTTGCTTCATTGTTAGTGTATAAGATACAACTGATTTCTGTACGATGATTTTGTCCGCAACTTTGCTGAATTCATGTATCAGTTCTAGCAGACTTTTGGTGGAGTCTATCAGTTCCATGTAATATCATGTCATCTGCAAAGCTAGCTTGACTTCATCTTTGCCAATTTTGGCGCCTTTGATTTTCCTTTGTTGTCTGATTGCTGATGCTGGAACTTCAGCACTATGTTAAACAACAGCGGTGAGAGTGGGCATCCCTATGCATGTTCCTGATCTCGGGAGAAAAAGCTCTCAGTTTTCCCGTTGTGAGGGATGATGTGTGGGCTTTTCATAAATGGCTTTTATGATCTTTAAGTATGTTCCTTCTATCCATTTTCTCAAGAGTTTTTTTTTTTTATTAAGAAAGGGTGCTGGATTTTGTCAAAAGGCCTTTTCTGCATCGATTGACAAGGATCATATGGTTTTCTCTTTTTTTTGTTAATATGCTTGATGTATCACGTTGATTGATTTCGCGATGTTGGAACCAGCCCCTGCATCCCAGGAATAGATCCCACTTGATCATGGTGAATAATTCTTTTATATGCCGATTTGTAGTATCTTGTGAGAAATTTTTGCATCCATATTCATCAGGATGTGGCGGTAGTTCTCTTTTACTGGGTCTCTGTCTGGTTTAGGAATCAATAATACTGGCTTCATAAATAGGTCTGACCCTTTCTATTTCTTGGAATAGCTTGAGAAGGATGGTATTATCTCTGCTTTCGCGTGGTAGGGAACTCCCTAGGAAGCCATCTAATTCCTGGACTCTTATTGTTGGGAAATTTTGATAACCGATTCAATTTCTTAGCTGGTGATGGGTCTGTTCAGCTTTCTATTTCCTCCTGATTGAGTTTTGGAAGAGTGGTTCAGAATTTGTCCATTTTCTTCTAGGTTGTCCAATTTGTTGGCATATAATTTTTCATAGTATTCCCTGATAATTGTTTGTATCTCTGAGGGATTGGTTGTAGTAATTCCATTTTCATTCATGATTTTATCTATTTGGGTCATCTCCCTTTTCTTTTTGAAAAGCACACTTTTAAAGTGCATAATATATGGTGGTTTTCGTAAATTCACTATGTTGTACAATGATCACCATTATCTCATTACAGAACATTCCCATCACCCCAAAAAGAAGCCCTGTAGCTATTAGCAGTCAGTCCCAATTCCCTCTTCCCAGCATCCACTGGCAGCCATTAATCTACTTTCTGTTTCTTTGGATTTGCCTATTCTGAAAATTTAACCTGAATGGAATCATGCAGTATCTGGCCCTTTGTGGGGCTTCTTTCACCTAGTATATTGTTTTCAAGGTTCATTCATGTTGTAGCATATACTAGACTTCATTACTTTTTAGAGCTGAATAATTCCATTGTGTGATTATGCCACATTTTGTTTCTCCATTTATATATTGATGGACATTTGGGTTCTCACTTTTTGGCTTTTATGAATGAATAATTCTGCTCTGAATTTTCATGAACTTTCATGTGAACATGTTTTCAGTTCTCTTGGATATATACCTGTGAGTAAAATTTCTGGGTCATATGGTAACTTTATGGGGTTTTTTTTTTGTGTTTGTTTTAATTTTTTTTTAACGTTTATTTATTTTTGAGACAGAGAGCATGAATGGGGGAGGGTCAGAGAGAGGGAGACACAGAATCTGAAACAGGCTCCAGGCTCTGAGCTGTGAGCACAGAGCCCGACGCAGGGCTCAAACTCACGGACCGTGAGATTATGACCTGAGCCGAAGTCGGCCGCTTAACCGACTGAGCCACCCAGGTGCCCCGGTAACTTTATGTTTTAATATTTGAGAACTGCCAAACTGTTTTCCACTGTGGCTGCACTATTTTATATTCCTACCAGCAATGTATGAGGGTTCAGTTTCTCTACATCTTTGCCAACATTAATTTCCCTCCCCCCCCCCCATTATTATGGCCATTCTAATGGATGTGAAGTGGTATCTCCCTGGGGTTTTGCTATGCATTTTTAACATTGTTTTGTAACATAATTTTCATGTGTGTTCTGTGAATGTTCTGTAATTTGTTTAACCAATTTCTTTTTGTGAACATTCAGGCCATTTCCACATTTTTAATAATATTTTTGTAGGAAATTTGAGGTAATTAAATTTCCTTAGTTTGGGATTTTGTTTCAGTGGATGAATCAGAGGAAGAAAATATAATCAGTGTGTTCATGTAGCCTTTTGGACATGTCCCTTAATGTCCATTCAGTTGTCCCTGAATGGTGGTGGCACTTGTGAACTTTTTCACTGCTCAAGGCACTCACTGTACAGAACACACAATCAACTGTGGCCTTGGGCCAGAAAGACTGGATGTCTAAAATTAAACCTGTGGAGACTGGTTAGAGGCATGCAGAAAAGACTGGAACATACTGGATATGATATGATGTGCCTCTGATATGATGTGAGGAATGTGGGAAGTCATTTCATGGTGTGCTGTCTTATAATATGTTAAGTCTTGAAGATAAATCAGGCATCGGTGCCCAAGATACCTTGTGGTACGTTCTGTGCTGCAGAGAAAAGTACCTTTCTTGGGTAGGAGATGGCAGTGATTTGATCTCCTGTAGCTCAAATTCCCACATCAGGAAACTGACCTACAGACCCAGGAGTTCAGGGGTCTCAAGGACTTCCCCAGAAGAATATTTTGTAGCTGGTAATAAAGACAGTTTCTGATGCTAGCACAGTCTCTTCATTTGTAAAGTGGTGTTATGAATTGTCTGTCTATCCTTTCATAAGAGTTGTTACAAGGAGAAAATTAAAGTCTTCTGAAAGAGCTGCGTCAATGTCAGTGGTTTTTATCACTGGAAACAGGACATTTTGTTTAAAAGGACAGATTCTGGGGCCAGATTTCCTGGCTTCAAATCTCAATTTCAGACAGGTTAATCTGTCTTACTTTCCTCATCCTTAAGAAGGGACTATAACAGTACCTACCTCACAGGGTTGCCATGAAGATTAAATGAGTTCATTAATATACATGAACACTTCGTGATTGGCATACAGAAAACACTCTGGAGAAGTTTGTTAGGTCTTAGTGATGGAGTGATTCCAGAGGGTGACTGGGAGGAGGATACCTGGGAAAACTAAAAAATGAATAGATGGTTCTGTGTACGGACCAGGTTGTTGTTGGTGGTTGTAGTCAGTAAGATTATAAGTTTGGTCTTAGACTATTAACATTTGAAGGGTCTTTGAGCAATTCAAGTGGAATTACTAAGTAGGCAGTTGATAATACAGGTTTGGCATTTACAAGGACAGGTCAGAGGTATTTAGATGATAATTGAAACTATGGACATGTATACAATTGCCTAAGAGTAGAGTTGAGAGTTAAAAAATAAGTATCCCAGGAGCGCCTGGGTGGCTCAGTCGGTTAAGCATCCGACTTCGGCTTAGGTCATGATCTCACGGTTCATGAGTTCGAGCCCCACATCAGGCTCTGTGCTGACAGCTCGAAGCTTGGAGCCTGCTTCCGATTCTGTGTTTCCCTCTCTCTCTCTCTCTCTGTGCCCCTCCCCTGCTCATGCTCTCTCTCTCTCAAAAATAAATAAACATTAAAAAAAAAGTATCCCTAAGAAACTCCAGCATTTAATGGCTAGTAGGATATGTTGGGTCTTCAAAAGAATATAAGGGGTGTTCCTTTTTTTTTTCTTTTTTTAATATTTATTTATTTATTTATTTATTTATTTATTTATTTCCAATATATGAAATTTAATGAGAGCTGTTTGGGTGGAGGAATGGGAATGATAAGCCAGATTAGGAAGGATTGAGATATGAGTGGAAATGAAATGGAGATGACAAGGGTAGACATTTCTTTCAAGAAGTTTGTGAGGGAGAGAAGAGTGATGTTAGGAAGCAAATAGCCAACCTGGGTTATCTATTTTGCTTTCTTAAATCGATTATTTCTCTCTCTCTCTCTTCCCCCCCTCCCCCTCTCCCTCCCTGCCCTTAACTCTTTCCCCTCACCCCACCACAAACTTTCATGCACACACACTACTCACACACTTTGTAAGACTCATTCACGTGGAGGATGCAGCTTTAACAGCCCCTGGCCTAAGGATCTTTTTAACGTTTCAACTGAGGTCTCCAGCTTAGGTTGCAGCTTATGTAGCCAATGTACTATTACAAGTATAGGATAGTGGAAAGAGAAAATGGTAAGGGCATTATCCTTTTGTTTGTAGATATCCTTAAATGGTGTCCGTGGGCATATTTGTTCATTCTGTGTTTTGATCTATAGGCCAGAGTACAGGGTTTTCATTTAGTTCACTTGAATATTTTGCTAGTTGCTATGCTAGAAGCTTGGAATTGAAAAGGTAAATGTGATACAAATCCTTGAGGAACATATAGTAGTTCATGTATTCCTATCATAAAATAATGAAGATAACCACAGTTTGTTGAAGGCTTAGTATGTGGTAGGCATTGTGGGTAGGGGCTTTGCATATATTCATTTTGTCATTAATTCTTTACACGACAGTCTTGCAGTTAAGATATTATTTCCTTTAGATGAAATAATTGAAGCTCAGAAATATCGAGTAACTTTCTCATATCCAACTAGACCTATTTATGGAATTTGAACTCAGATCTGTCTGGCTCTAGGCCAGTGCTAATTACATTTCACCACCCTGCTTATTATGTTATATGTATCATTTAAAGATATATTAGGCCCTTTTCAATTGTATATGACAGAAACACTATTCAAACTAGCTAAAGCAAATAGGGAATTTATTGATACTTATAACTGAGGTAGAATAAAGTCTTCAGGTACAGCTAGACCCAGGTCCTTAATTAATGTTATCAGGGCCTTGTCTCTCTACCTTTTAGCTCTGCAAACCTTCCTTTGTTGGTTTTATTTATAAACAGGATTCTCCATGGAACTAAAAGGATAACTATTGACTGCCCGAAGCCAATATTATCCTTAGAGCTTATGAATACAGAGGAAGAAAGCTTTTTTCCTCCCCGCTGCGAGTGCCCTGGTTTTTAAATCTGCATCATTGCTTATCATTGGAGCCAAAGGTGCAGAATCAGTCCTACTCAAACCACATAGACAAGGGAGAAGGAATATTTACAATTATGTGTTTATCATGTATAGTATTTCACACGTGATATTTGATTCATTTAGCAGTCTTAAGGGGTTGAGGCAATCTAGCTAAGAATATTGTTCAAAACCAGGACTGCCACTCACTTCTTCGCTTTCACACTCATTCTTTCCTCTGCATCATAAGGTTCAAATGAATGAGTTACAGGCATAATTGTTGCCATACTTCTCACTGCTCACATTTACTATTTAATACAAATAGGTCACAGCTGAGAAGAGTTATCAGTAGCAATGGAATATACTTCCTACATAAAAGTCATGTCCAAAGTTGTTTTCTAAGCAAGGGAGAAATTCTAGGCAGGGCATGAGAGGGTGGGGACAGTAAATGAGCGAAAATGATATGCAGCAAATATCTTCTTTCAAGGGTGTTAATTTCCTTTTCCTTTTCCTTTGAAGGTGAAGGCTGAAATGTTAGACATGGCAGAAAATGCATTTGATGATGAATACCTGAAATGCACTGACAGAATGGAAGTCAAATATGTTCCCCAGCTGCTCAAGGAGGAAAAAGCAAGCCATGCACTCTTGAAGGCTGTGTGGGAAAATGCAGAAGTGAAGTGGGAAGCCAGGAAGACGCAGATCTTTCTCCCTATGAGTTTTAAAGATAACCATGGAATAGCACTGATGGCATATGTTTCGGAAGCTCAAGAGCAGACTGCTTTTTACCGTATGTTCAATGAAGCTGTGAGGATGGCTGGTCTCTCTCGAAAAGAATATGTCTATGACTTCCAGTTCAAAGCTTTTCATTTTTACCTGACAAAAGCCCTGCAGTTGCTGAGAAGACCTTGTGAGGAAAGTTACAAAAATGTGGTGTATAGTGTAAGCCGGGACACCTCATTTAAATTTGGAGGGCTCAACCAAGCCAGATTGGGCCATTTCACTCTGGCATATTCAGCCAAGCCTCAAGCTCCTGATGACCAACACATTCTGTTAACCATCCACGCGTGCTTTGGAGTTGCCATTGAAAATTTTTTTGATAAAGAAAGTGAAAGAATTATTTTAATACCTCTGAATGAGATTTTTAACGTGTCACAGGATGGGACCAGCAATAACCTTATCCTTCAAAGCACAAACAAGACCTGCAGCCATTATGAGTGTGCATTTCTAGGTGGTAAGTATCTCTGTTCTCTCTGTGCTTGTCTGGAAGGGAAGGAGTGGGATTCTTAGCCCCAGGGAAAGGTCAGAAAAGAAACTTTAAGGTATTTTAAAAGAGAAATGATGCTGATGGTCTTCAGTCTACCTCCTTTCGTATAATTAGGTTTTTTTTTCCTGAAATGTAATTTTATCAAAAGAATACATTTCTAGCATTCTAGAAGGTTAAAGAAATAAAATACTGTTGGGCTCCGGTTCTTAACCAGGGGCAGTTTTGCCCTGCTGGGTCATTTGGCAATAACTAGAACTTTTGATTGTCACGGTTATCCCTAGTTGCTACCAGTAGTATCTGATGGGTAGATGCCAAGGACACTGCTAAACAAAATGCACAGAACAGTCCTGCTGACAAAGAAGTACCTGGTCCATACTCCTGCTTGTAAGGCTTACAATGAAAAATAGCAGCTCCCTGCCCCACCACTCCCTGTCCCCAATTTTCACTCCTCAGTGGTATCGATTTTTAATTTTTCCGCCAAAGTTTTTAATAACGGGCTTCAGAATGTTATCTCTTGATTGTTAGATTTTTTAGACCTCATCAGTTACATCATCAATAATTCAGACTCTATTCTGTTCCACCAATCTTAGCATGTTGGGTTTATGGATTCATATTTGCAGTATGACTGTTGCAGCTATAGGCCTCAATCCATGTTCAAGACAAAAAGAAAGGGAAGGGATCTGGATGGCAGCTAAATCTGCCTGTTTAATAAGGAAAGTAAAAGCTTTCCCAGAAACTGCTAGTAGATTTCTGATTCTGTATCATTAACCAGAATAGCTACTTGGTAATTTATAACTTGAAGAAAAATGTGGAAAGAAGGTAATTAGCTTTTCCTCTCAAGGGTAGGGAGGCAAGAGAGAAGGGAGTTTGAAATAGCTGTTATAGCAGTAAACCAAACATATGTGATAACCACCATCCTCCTCCTCAGTGTTTGTGTATGTCCCCTTTCCAGTCTTCCACTGTAGTAAAGACTGGTACCTTTTGAAATACCTCTTTTACCCAGAGTTATTAGTTTTTTTGTATCCTTAGTTTTTAATATCCCATCAATAATTCATCCCCAAATCCTTAGAAATATAAATCTCTTCTTTTTTTTTGTTATAAAAAATTTTTTTTTAATGTTTATTTTTGAGAGAGAGAGAGCGAGAGAGTGCAAGCAGGGGAGGGGCAGAGAGAGGAAGATACAGAATCCAAAGCAGGCTCTAGGCTCCGAGCTGCCCCAGAGCCAGATGTGGGACTCAAATTCATGAACCATGAGATCATGACTTGAGCTGAAGTCAGACATATGTGGCCTTTTAGTACAGGTGCCCTGAAATATAAATCTCTTCTTAATACATCAGACATATCAGACACTCTTATGGGTTTTTTTTTTTTTTTTTGAATATACTCCTTCTGGATTCTCCCATCAAACTGCTCTGTGATATACTCTTTAGGCCTGCTATTGAATAGTCTAAAATCTCTCCTCACAATTATTGAGACTTTCTTTTGCTTCTTCCCTGTGAGGAATCCTCTATATCTTAGATTTTTCTCCTCTTTCTTGAATTACTCCTTTGTTTGGCAGGGGTATGGGTTCTCTAAAAGTTTTCTGAGAAAAGGGACATTGAGGGAAATTTTTAAGACTTTACATATTTGTAAAGTCTACTTATAGGCTTGAATAATAGTTTGTGTAGGTTTCTATTTCTGTTTTGGAAATATCTTCCTTGGAATTTTGGAGTCATTCTTCCATTGTCTTCTGGTTTCTGGTGCTGCTGTTAAAAAGTATGAAGCCATTCTAATTACTAAAGCTTTGAATGAGACCTTATTTCTTTTCTCTGGATGGTTTTACAATGTTTTCTTTATCCCCAGCATTCTGAAATTTAATGATGTTGTGGCTTGGTGTATGTGAGTGAAAGGTTAACAAAACCCTTTCTCCATTATCCTGTGGGAATGACCTCCTGTTGCTCTTCTCCTCACACTGTTTCTCTGTAATCTGTTGAAGGTCGAATGGCAGCTGTGTAAACATGGAACACTGCGTAAGGGTAAACATAGCCCTTGATTGGTAAAATGCATCTGAGCTGGGAGGGTTGTGAATAAACTATAAATACTTGGGGGAAGCCATAGTTTTGGGCATTCCTGAATGTGGTATGACATACCCAGGTGTTTTTCTTGCTGAGTCCTGAAACTGCACTCATGGACTGGTCTCAGAGATATCATCGTCTTTATGTGGCATGAGGCTACTAAACTAGAATGGTTCCTCTAACCACTTGTATAAATGTGTTTCCTTGTACCTGAGCTATAATTCTGGGATTAAAGAATAGCCTTGGGCAGCTGTGAGGACTTGCGCCAAAGGTATGTATCTGCTGCTGCCCTGCTGCTAAATAGTGTGCAGTGTTCCTTCCCTTCTATTCTTCTGCCAAACTAAGTAAACAGGTGGGAGGAGAGCCTTTTTGGGTCTTAGCAGTGTGACGGTCTAGCTGAACCCAAAACCAGAACCACTGATGAAGCAGAATGAGTATTACAGTAGGGCTTCAGAAGTGGGATAGACTTTTAGACTTTGATTCAGTATGTCCAAGGCACTATGAGATAAAAAAGAACAGGTAGGGAAGCGCTGATAAGACATCATGCCAGGGTGGGAGGCTGATCTGCTTTTGATTTAATGGCAGAAACTGTGTGGTCATTGAGGTGCCTGGGGCACAAAATTTAAGGAAGGTCCTTATTCTTAGGATCATACACTTGTGCCATCTGCAAACTTGCATGATCCTGAGTAAGTGCCTTTTAAATTTTGCACTCATAGGCACCTCATTTGCCTCACCCTAATCCTGGACCTGAGTTGCAAGTCAGTGAAACTAACTATTCACCTTAAGAGGACAGATGAAGACTAGAGCGAGTAAATTTGCATTGCGGGGAAAAGTACCCATTCCCCTCATCAACCATACAATGGACCTGTCCAAAAACCAAGCCAGTTAGAGCTGGTTCATACCAGCTCTTGGGAGCTGATTGTGGGCATACATCTCTTCCCAGTTCCTCATATATCACAGGAGTTTGAAGTTAACCATGGTTGAGAGTTTTACCATGGAAATCAGTGAATGCTACAAATTAGGACCCCACCACCCACCCCAAAACCTGTTCACCTAAATCACATTATAGCCAAGAAACCCATTTGAAGCTAGGCTGACAAAATGATACCACTTTTGGTGCTCCTGATGCATTCAGCCAAATGCCATTTGTGGAGGCATTGGTTACACAGAAGCCCTGGCTGCATTAGCTATATGCCAAATTAATCACTGATACCTGGTTGATAGACAAAAGATGGGCAGTGGAACCCACAGAGTTGGTTGTGAATTGGATTCTAAAGAACAAAATGGGTGGAGCCGTTGGGTTGACTAAGAATGAGCCAGGGCTCAGATCTGCATGTGGAAGTGCAATATGAGCTCCTGTGAGGAGGGAAGAGAGGAATATGCCTGCCACTGTGGGCATCCCCACAAGGTCAGGCAGAGGCTGCACAGCAAGTTAATGTTCAAACCAGCCACAAGGAGAGACATTTGTGGAGGCTCACAGGCACGATTTCTTTGGAGAGCTCTGACAAAGGCCACTGCAAATGATTGTATAGATTTAATGCTAAACTGGAATCTAACCAGCATCCTCTGCTGCTATCTAGAAACAGCTAATGGGATCTCAGGGACAAAACCTCTCAAAGTAATAATTACAGGTAGGCTGTTTTAGAAAAGGTGAAGGCAGGTATCTGATGGAAGCCTGAGACACCAGAAGGGAGATTGTTCGCTCTTCTGTGAGGGCTTCCTGAGCAGCAGCAGGTGCACACTCCCCTCTCTGGTCATGAGAATAGGCTGACACCATTTTTAACCCCTCCTGTCAGCACCAGTGGGCTTCAGAGAGAGGCACAGAAACTAGTGGAGGCTTGAGGTGCTTATACCAAGCCCTTGCCTCCCTGTACTCTGAATGTCTTTTTTTTTTTTTTTTAAACTGTGGACTTGAGAGCCAGAGCAGCAGTGGGCCCCTACCCAGAAGACCAGCACGAGTACCAGTCTGCTAACCATAGAATGCTGCAAAGCTTCAGCTCTAGGGGAAATAGGATCTAGCCTTTTTTTTTTCGAGTATTTTTTTTAATGTTTATTTACTTTCTGAGAGACAGAGTGTGAGCAGGGCAGGAGCAGAGAGAGAGGGGAACACAGAATCCGAAGCAGGCTCCAGGCTCTGAGCTGTCAGCACAGAGCCCCATGTGGGACTCGAGCTCACGGAACGTGAGATCATGACTTGAGCCAAAGTCAGACACTCAACCGACTGAGCCACCCAGGTGCCCAAGGATCTAGCCTTTTTAAACAAGCAGATCAAAACACACAGGGTTAAAATTTTCTACACACTAGACAAGGCCAAACACTCCCACTGTAGGCAAGGAGAAGCACTGCAGAGAACTGACCTAAGGAAAAGAACAGCCAAAACACAACAGTGCACACAACATATACCAAAAACACTTCCTGAGGTGTATCCTGAAGCCCTGAACAGCCTATGACTTCTTAATACAGCTATTGCTCTCAGGAGCAGGAAACATAACAGACTTTCCTAACACACAGAAGACTGAGATCTAAACAAAATGACAAGCTGCAGGAATTCTTCCCAATAGAAAGAACAAGAAGAGGTCATGAGCAGGGATCTAATCAAAATAAGTATAAGTAATATGCCTGAACCACAATTTAAAACAGCAGTCATAAGGGTACTACCTGGACTTGAGAAAAGTATAGAAGACACCAGGGAGTCCTTTATCATGGAGATCAAAAGACCTAAAAACTAGCCTAAATAAAAAATGCAGTAACCGAGATGCTAAACAGACTGTAATGACCAGGATGGAGAAGCAGAGGAATGAATAACTGATATAGAAGATAAAATAATTTGGGTGCCTGGGTGGGTCAGTCAGTTAAGTGTTGGACTTTGACTCAGGTCATGAACTCAAAGTTCGTGAGTTCAAGCCCTGCATT